GAGTAGGTATTTTTGAGTAAAAGTCAATATGATAGAAAGTGTAATCCTGAATTAACATTACATATTAATGATAGGAGTAACTTCCTTTCAAGTTGTGTGAAAGGGTATCTTTTATTTCTTCTGGTAATAAATTGGCCTAGAAAAACAGAACTATACTGGGAAGTGTGTAAATATTCCTTCTAATATTAGAAATTATAATGATATATAGCAATAAAAATTTTGAGCTCATAATCTAGAATTTGATGAGACCACAAAAGGTGGAATCTAATCAATGCTTCTGCTCTCAGGAAAGATGAACTCCAAAATCTATAAAGATCTATAGTTGTATATTTAATTTATGAAGATCCTGAAGGTGAGACTCTTAAGAGAGGTGAAGGCAGGGTTAGGGGCTCTGGAAGGTTCAAATAGTAATTCATAAGGTTTGGAGTTTAGACCAATGCTTCTTATTTATTATTATCCTTCTAACTTCTACTGGTTATTCCTACTAATTAGATATCTAATAGCTAATTGAGGCAATATTTTCCTTTTACTTTTTGTAGAGATTTATCCTGCAATAAAATACAGTCTATCGAAAGACATACATTTGAACCACTACCTGTTTTGCAGTTTATGTATGTTACAAATATAACTTCATTATATTTGGAATTTTTATAAAGCTTAATTTTTTATAAAATTAATTTGTTACTCATTTTGAAATATGATTAAAATTACTACTAATATTTTGTAAGCAAATCCTTTTTGTCTCTAGCAAAGATTAGTGTGAAAATTATTACACAGATCAGAGTGAATAATTATAGAGCAGTGGTTCTCAACCAGGGTGATTTTTGCACGCAGGTGACATTTGGTAGTGTCTGGAGACATTTTTGCTTGTCAGAACTGTATATGCTACTGGTATCTAGTGGACAGAGGCCAGAGATGCTACTGAACATCCAACAGTGTTCAGGGGAGCCTCCCACAGCAAAGAATTATCCAGCCCAAAATGTCAATAGTGCTGCCTTTCTAGAGAAATAAAGATCACTTAACACAAGTATTTAATGAACATTTACTATTTTGTATCTAATGCACCACATATATAATCATGAAAGTATAAATCATAATGTCTTCCACAGTGAGATTTCTTTAGTGTATGGAGGGAGTAGTGATGTTATTTTTCATCATATATAAATTAGAATTATTGCCAAAGGATAAATGTTCTGAAAGAATACATATTTTTCTTCTTCTTTTTTTTTTTTTTTTTTTTTTTGCGGTACACGGGCTTCTCACTGCTGTGGCCTCTCCTGTCGCAGAGCGCAGACTGCGGACGCGCAGGCTCAGCGGCCATGGCTCACGGACCCAGCCGCTCCGCGGCACGTGGGATCCTCCCAGACCAGGGCACGAACCCGTGTCCCCTGCATTGGCAGGCAGACTCTCAACCACTGCGCCACCAGGGAATCCCCTTTTCTTCTTCTTTTGCTTGTGTCTTTTTTTGTAGAAATCTTGGTTGCAATTTACTCACAGAACTGAGCTTTGGAACGTTTCAGGCCTGGCATGGGATGCAGTTTTTACACAAGTTGTAAGTGAAATAGAAGATGAATACATGTAAAAAACTGTGTGTAAAAGCAATCATGCAGTTATTGGTTAGCTGGGGTGTAAGTAAGCCCAGTATGAATTCTGGAAAGTATGTCTTGAGAGCCATTTATTATTTTTTTAAATGAGGAAACTAATGTACAAAGAGGCCAAGAGATTTGTGTAACTCATATATATGAAATGCTCTGCTTTCCATAGTACTGATCTTTGGCACGGGCAATAAAAGGCACCAAGCAAAAACACTCAAATTAGCGTTGTCATGGAATCCCACTGATGCCTCTCCAATATGCGAATGGTCCATGAAGTTCCACTTTTGAATTTAACTTTGATTCCCGCTCATGTGCAAAGTTCCTAACTGCTTAAAATGTATGCAACACAGAGCTGCAAAGAACTAAGTTTAGCACCGAATTCTTCAGGGAGCAAAAGGTGTGGGTGCTTCCCCAACCATTATTAGCTCTTTTAAATGGTAAAGCAGAACAAATTCCTGAACACCCACCACAGGGCTCTCCCCATCCACCCAGAACATTGTTTTTGAAAAAGCATATATCTCTGAAGTGAAATATTTGTGGCCAGTAGGAACCTTTGAGGTATGGAAAAAGACGTTGTTTGTGTTCAGCTATAGTGTGAAAATACAAAGAAAATACATTGCTGTAGCCTAATTCAATATACTTCCTTTGCTGACTACTCTTCAATAAGAAGTGTGGGCTTTACACACCTACAGCTCAAAAATTCTGTGATTTCTCATGACACAAGGAAATGATAGTGGGTACGTTCAATGGCCCGAAGGCGATTTCAGACTCAAGGTAAAGAGCTCTTCTACACCTAGCTTTGGAAAAGACTCTCTTCCCTGTCTCGTGATTCAGAAATCCAGTTTCACACAGTTCACACATTTTGGGTTAATGGAGGTGTTGAGGCTGTGTCTGGAGCTGGATTAGCAATTCCTGCAGATGCCTATCTTTAGCGGCCTCCTTCCTTTCCCTTGTTAGTTTGCTGATGCCTACCTTTGGGAGAGAGCACCAAGGGTCAGTTTTTCTTTTGCCAGCACATCGGAGAGCAGGCTGATGAGGTCCCTTCACCAGGAGGTTTTAGTAGCATCAATACAACGTCTTAAACTCACCACCTTTCCTAAACATCCTATAACAGCAAGAGTTCCTTATAAGAATCAGAGTTTCACTATAGTTATGTAGGCAACACAGGAAAATACATTGTGGAAATCAATCAATCAATCAATCACAGTTTAAAAATTAATGAATTCATTCCAAAACATTCACTGAGTGCCATGCCCACTGTGTGTCAGTACTCTATTAAGTGCTGGGGATACAAAGACGCATAGGGCAGGGACTTTGTCCCCAATAAGCTTTCATACTGGAAGGAGAAAGATGGTTGTTGATGTGAAAACATATATGAGAGCCATTCTAGCATCTGTGCAGCAGCGTAGCAAGGTGAGGTAAGGATGTGATGAAGTAGAAAATGCGTGGTAGGTTAGAAAAGATTTGTAATGGAAGAGGCACCAACTTGTTCCTTTTGAATTTGTGTTCCTCTTAAATGACAGAAAAAGGTAGTGAAAGAATCAGAACTATCTGGTGTTGGAAATAAATCAGTACTGGACTCCTAAAACTCATTCACAGTTACTTTCAAATGGTTGTCACAGTATAGTAAGTCTTTGTTTTGGGCTAAGTCTTTCTAATAGACAAAGCTAATTTGCTTCAGGAAACATTTGCCATGGTGAGACATAAGCTTTATTGCATCTCTTTCCAAAGGCAAGCCACCAAGGGAAGACACCACCCTCAAGTTAAGTCATTTTACTACCTATAATGACATATTACTGGGGTGTTTATAAGTTGCCTGCATTAAAAAAGTTTGGAAAAGGGCCCCAGCTGAGGTGGATTTATCATGAATACAATGAAGCTTAGGCTTCAAGGCTCCTCACTTGCATAGGTCACTTCCAAGGTTTTGAGAGGGGTCCTAGCGATTTTTGTATTCATAACATTGCATGTTTTTTTTAGATAGGATTTCCCAAAGTAGATGAGGTTCAGGCCCCACAAAACCTTGACTCATCACCGGGTTTCAGGTAATTACAAGTCAGTAGGTTTCTTGAATGAAGCCTCTATGTTATTGACAAACATCAGGTGAAGTAGTTAGCAGTGTGGTAGTCTATTTTAAATCCGAAATCTACCTCAAAGATGAGCCAAGAGCTTATTAATTACTAAAGTACCACTTTTTGAATGTTGGTAGTAATCATATCTCTTTCAGATAAAATCAGGAATGAAATATATTATGGAAAACCAGCAGTGGTTGACAATCCTAAATGTTAAGTATACTTTTTTTTCTGACTTTAAAGTGTTTCTCCTTCATTCACCTATGCAGGTCCAGACTGATGGCTTATTTTTAAAGTTCTTTTAGTAACTTCATTGGTTCTAACAATACAAGCTCCATGATTTTAGAAAGTGAAGGACTCTACAATGTATAAAGGCTATATAACTTAACCAAACAGAGCACATTCACATGCTGGCTTCTCTGTGGTACATCAATATTGTAACAAGAACATAAGCACTAGGAGAGAATAAGAGGAAAATCAAAGCCTTATCCCTATTGAATTATTTACCCCATTGTTGAGAATATCAATGAGGGAGGTGTGGCCACCCTATGAAGGCAAATTGAGCTGCGGTCACAGAGCCGCCCTAATGCTCTCCCAGTCAACTATCATTGGTTTCCTTTAGATAGCTATGTACACACAAAAGCTTACATACTTCAGGATGTTGTCATCACTTTTTGCTATGTACTAGAATCCTGGCAGCTTCTCAGATTTAGAAAAGCATTAACGCTAAAAACAAACATAACTTGAGTCTGCCCTTTGGGGTGATTCAGGGTGGCTGTTTTATTTGTAATAGTTCAAAATTTTGAGATTGTCACACCTAGCAACTACTATACTTTTCTTCTGCCAACTGCATCTTATTCTTCCCTCCTGTAGTATTTTCTCCCATTCTACATGTTTTTTTCACTTTCTTGATAGTGTCCTTTGAAGAACAAAATTTTTATAAAATCCCATTCATCTATTTTTCTTTTGGTTGTTTGTGCTTCTGGATCATATCTAAGAAACTGTTGTCTAATGCAAGGTCATAAAGATTTACTCCTGTGTTTTCTTCTAAGAGTTTTATAGCCTTAGCTCTTACATTTGGATATTTGTACCATTTGGAGTTAATTTTCATATATGGTGTGAAGTGTAGGAGTCCAGCTTCATTATTTTATGTGTGGATGTACTGTTGTCCCAGTATCATTTGAAAAGACTGTTCTATCCACATTGAATTGTTTTGGCACCCTTGTTGAAAATCAATCGACCATAATTATGAGGGTGTATTTCTATACTGTCAATTCTGTTCCATTGATTTACATGTCTGTTCTTATTCCAGTACCACACTGTGATTGCAGTAGCTTTGAACGGAGTTTTGAAACCAGGATGTGTGAGTCCTCCCACTTTGTTCTTTACCAACATTGTTTTGGTTATTCTGTTTCCTTGATTGCCACATGAATTTTAGAATTAGCTTGGCAATTTCTGGAAAGAAGGTAGCTGGGATTTTGATAGGAATTGCAATGGAACCATTAGTCGATTTGGGAAGTAGTGACATTTTAATAAGATTATTTTCCAGTCCATGAATCCAGCATGTCTTTATATTTATTTAGATCTTCTTCAATTTCTTTCAACAGTTTTGTACTTTTCAGTGTGAATCTTGCACTTACTTGGTTAAATTTTTCCCTAAGTATTTTATTTGTTTTGATGCTGTTACACATGGAATCGTTTTCTTAATTTCATTTTTGGATTACTCATTGCTGGTGTGTAGAAATAATATTGATCTTATATCCTACAACCTTGCTGAACTCATTTATTAATGCTAACAGTTATTTTCCTAGATTCCCAGGAATATGTCTTGTGGTCTTCCAGTTTCCCAGGAATACATTGGAACATTTCAAAGTCTCTGTGGACATCTCATTCCTAAGCTTTTCTTTTTAAGCTTTTCGGTTGGGCTGTTTTTTGCCCCAAACTGTTATCCATTGCCCAATGCAACTGCCATGTTAAAATATTTGCCTGAAAATGTTTTCCAGAAATTACCCGTGAGGTGTGGCTTTTCTTACTAGGCAGCTCTCAGTCAGGTCAAAGGCAAGACTTTCAAGTGAGGTCTTCCAGGGGACCACCAGACATGTAAAACAATGACAGTTCTTTGGGAATGAGCCTTTGAAGGCCTTTCCAGTCCTTGCTGCTCCTTCTGGTACCAGGGATGTGGGCTGTTTTTCAAGGCTACCAAGGCTACCACTGGCATGGAGAGCAAAGGTCAAGGACAAGTTCAAGCAACACAGATCTCATTGTTCTTACAGAAATTAATTCGTTTTCCTTGAATAAATTGCTCCCCAAATTGCTACAAGCATGTTGGTTAAATTTCTACAGTTCAGAAGAAGTTGATTCTGGCTATTTTTGCCAGTTTTGTTGTTGTTGTTGTTGCTATTGTTATTGTTGCTTCTATGGAGGGATGAATTTTCAGATGTCCTTCCTCCTTCATTTTTACTGATTTTCCTGCAACATTTTTTAAAATCTCTAAAGTCACAATGACCATAGGCTAATTAAATATTTATCATGGGAGATGATTAAGGAAAAAATAAATAAAAAGAGAAATAAATAAATAAAAATAGAAAATATAATTCTTATAGAGGCTTTCCCAGATGGGTAGATGAAGTTTGAAAAGGTATTTCTATATTTAGTGCTCTCAAAATTAAGATTAAAGTAACAGATGTTTTAAAACCCCCCCTTTTTTTTCATTCAGGTTAAACACAGGCTTTAGAGTCAGAACTGAGTTCAGATTGCAGCTCTGCTTCTTACTAGCTTGATGACTTAGGACAAGTTATGTAACTTCTTTGGGCCTCAGTTTCCTCATTTGTACAATGGGGTAATATGTCTATCACATAAGGTTACTATGAGGATTAAATGTTAAATGCTGATCACAGATGGCTGGCAACCCAAAAGATATTAGTTTTGATAATTATCTTTATAATATTCTGCAAAAATATGTTAATAATTCTTGAGTAGAGTTAACCTAAAATCAGATATTCTTTCCTTGCTTTCTGTTTTTTCTGGGTTTCTTTTACCCCCTTATTTGTTTTAAAGAACTGAGAAAAAAAAAAGAAAGAACTAAGAAGAAAATCTATTCCAGCATTTTAGAATAAAATTTTGTTCCCCAAAATTAATTTGTTTATTTTATTCATATATAAACAAAATGTTATTTATTCAGCAAATCTTTATTAAATACCTAGCAAATATTAGGCACTATGTCAGGTACAAAAATAATAATGACAATAAAGTGTGGTTCCTGCTCTGAAGTTGCTGACAGTCTAGGACAGTGACAAGTAAACAGGTGATTACATACACAGTAACAAAGCTATGATACAAGAATACACATGGGACTCTGTGATGGGAGTATGGCTTTCACCAGTTCCTCTTGGATTTGTCTCCTCTTCTTTCGATCCAGAACCAAGGAATTAGCCCTATTTTTATCTTTTACTGGGTAGTTTAAATCATGAAATTTTAAAGAATTTGTAGAGATGAAAGAAAAATACCTTGAATTATGGAGGACAGTAGAAATAGTACTTTTTTTACAGAGCAGGGGCTTCCTACCAGCATCGTCACTTCTTGGGTTTTTAACCTGAAAAGTTCTTTGGCATATTTTTCTATGCTAGCCACTTTTTAAATATTTTTTTGTTTGTTCCTCTTCTCAACTTTATCATCTAGAGTCCTGGGTAGTTCCCAATGAAAGAGCGTTTTACAGATTCTAAGGGTGATTTCTAGGTAAAGACAGAAAATGATTTTCTTTTAACTTTCAAGTTCCATACCAAAAAAAATGAATATAAGCTTTCATGGAAGTAATTGAAAATGCAGATCATTTTAATTCCATCCCATTTTTCAGAATTCTCAATCAGAATCCTTTGACAACAGTTGAAGATTCTTATCTTTTTAAATTGCCAGCATTAAAATATTTGTACGTATTGCAACAGTTTCATGGCTCATGAGATAATTTCTGCTGTTTTTTAGTTTCGTCAAAGATTGAGTACTCTGGCTGAAAAGTCATAATTTAGATTGTAACTGGGTTACTGAAAATAAGAGTTACTGGCAAAGAAAAGGATTAAGGAAGAACATATACGGGTAAGGCAGCCAGCAGAGCATGAGGACAGTGTTGGAGAACACATAGAGTTGTGGAGATGCAGATGCGTGTAGGAATGTTATTTAACCCAGAAAGCAAAAAGGAATAAGGGGTACATTATTTTTTTTAATGAGTGATCAAAGAGGTAGATGCAATTGAAAATGAGAAGTTAGGATAATAAAAAATGATGGTGCTGTTCAGCACCAAGGTCATTCATTTGACGATGCAAATTTAAATTTCTTCAGTAAGAGCCCTTTAGAATTATCATCCATGGCAAGTAAGAAGCCAGAACTGAAGTCATCACATGTTAAGTATCTTTTTAAGTTTAGAATTTTTGTCTGGGTTTTATATCATGCATGTTTGGGCTTCTCCTTCAGAGACATGGGAACAACACAAGTGTCACAACAATTGAAAGCATCCTCACGATGACCCTTGAATTGGAAAAACTGTAAGTTGATTTTTCTTACATTTATTTTCACTCAATTGATTTCTTACGTTTGTTTTATTATTTTCTTAAGTCAGGTTTATTTATGTATAATTTTCATTTAACAAAATTCACTATTTTTAAATATACGGTGTGATGTGTTTTGACAAACGTATAGTTCTGTAGCCACCACCACATTTGAGGTCAAGAAAACTTCTGCCCTCCCAAAAGACCCCTCATGTCCCTTTGTAGTCAATCCATCCTCCTCCCACTACCAGGCCCTGGCAACCACCAATCTGATTTTTTTCTGTATAATGTTGCCTTTTCCAGAATATCTTATAACTGAAAGCATGTGTTATATAGCCTTTTGTTTTTGGCTTCTTTCACTTACCAGTCTCCTTGGAGATTCATCTGTTTTGTTGCACCTGTCAGTAGTTCATTCCTCTTTATTGTTGAGTAGTATTCTAGTTGTGTGGATATACATTTTGTGTACACATTTGTCATGTGATGAACATTTGAGTTGTTTCTAGATTTTTGGCTATTATGAACAAAGCCTCTGAAAACACACATGTGTGTGTGAACAAATGTTTTGTGCGATCATATGTTTTCATTTCTTTCGGGTAAAATACCTAAGGGTGGGATTGCTTCATCATATGCTAAGTGCATATTTAACTTTTTAAGAAACTGCTGAACTGTTTTCTAAAGTGCCTGTGCCATTTTGGTTTCCCACTAGCAGTCTATGTGCATTTCAGTTGCTCCACATCATCACCTGATCACTATATTTGTTTTAAAAAAAAATTTAGCCTTTCTAGTAGGTGTGCAGTTGTATCTCATAGTTTTTGCCAGATTTTGCGTTTCTGTAATAGCTGATGATGTTGAGTGTCTATTCATGTGGAAATATCTTTTTAAATGAAGTGTCTGTTCAAATCCATTTTTAATTGGATATTTATATTGAGTTTTAAGAGTGCTTTATATAAAAAGCAATGGAAAAAGTCCTTTCTCTAAGATATGTGTTTAGTAAATATCTTCTTCCAGATCGTGACTTATCTTCATTGTATTAAAGTGTCTCTGAAGACTAGAAGTTTTAAATTTTTGATGAACTCTAATTTAGCAATTTTTCTTTTTTTCATATTTATTTAATTAATTTATCTGGTTGTGCTGGGTCTTAGTTGCGGCAGGTGAGCTACTTAGTTGCGGCTCATGGGCTTCTTAGTTGTGGCATGCAAACTCTTAGTTGCGACATGCACGTGGGATCTAGTTCCCTGACCAGGGATGGAACCCGTGCCCCCTACATTGGGAACTCGGGGTCTTAACCTCCAGAGAAGTCCCTTAGCAATTTTTCTTAGATGGCTTGTGCTTTTTTGTGTCTTATCTAAGAAATCTTTTTGTGAGACCCCACTGTGTAACCCAAAATCACAAAGATTTTCTCCTATGTTTTCTTCCAGAAGTTGTATAGTTCCATTTAGATCTGTGATTCATTTTGAGTTAATTTTCTTATATGTTGTGAGGGAAGGGTCAAGTTTCATTTTTTTGCAGTTTAAAAACTATTTCTGTAGGACCCTACTGTGACAGTTTATTACACAACTTACTGCACCTTATACTGTGCCATCCCTCCTCCAATATGGCAAGCTAGTAGAAACTTTCTGTTATACCAAGGCTAGATGAGGGCATTGCATGAGATTAGTATGGGGAAAGGACCCTGCATTTAGCAGTCTGTTCCAACTGTCTTTGTCAGGTCAGCTGACAAATGACTGTCTTCACCACGCTGTCACACATTGGTCACTGCTCTAGCCTCATCTTCCTCAGCCTCCCACAGCATCTGCCACAATTGCGATCCCTCTCTTGTCAGCTAGATGCCCTCCTCTCTGGATATTAAAAATTATTTCCCTATGTAACTACAATACTGTTAACACACAGTATTGAAGAAATTAAATTCCTACACAATAATATTACCTAATAAAGAGTTGCTATTCAAATTTCCCCAGTTGCCTCTCTCATATAATTTTTCTTTTAACAGCTTTTTGAGGTATAATTGACATGTAATAATCGCTGTTCACACACACACATACATACACAGCAGGAAGACATCACCAAAATCAAAATGTCCATCACCTCAGAAAGTTCCATAATGTCTCTTTGTAATTATTTCTACCCATCGTTCCTTGCCCTTCCCAATCGCCATGCAACCATTGATCTGTTTTTTGTTTGCATTTTCTAGAATTTTTTGTTAATGGAATCATACAGTGTATACTTTTTTCTAACTGGTTTCTATCTCAGCATGATTATTTTAATCTTCATCCATATTGTTGTAGATATCAGTAATTAATTTCTGTTTATTGCTGAATAGTATATTTCTGTATTACGATTTGGATGGAAGTTCTTTTATTTATTTATTTTTTGAACCTGGATGTTCAGTTGTTCCACACCATTTGTAGAAAATCCTATTGTTTCTTCACTAAATGCCTTTGAACCTGAAAGTCAGTTGTCCACATCTCTCTACTTCTGAACTTTCTATTCTGTTCCTTTGATCTTTTTGTCTATCTTTACACTACTATCACAATGTCTTGAAAGTGTAGCTTCATAAGCGTTGAAATCAGTTACTGTTCGTTCTTCAACTTTGTTCTTTTTTAAAGTTGTTTTAGTTATTCTAAATTTTATTTCCATATGAATTTAGAATTGGCTTGTCAATTTCTATAGAAAAGCCTACTGGGATTTTGATCTATAAATCAATTTGGCGAGAATTGATGTCTTAACAATATTAAATCTTCTGATCCATGAATACATTATATCTCTCCATTTATTTAGGTCTTCCTTAATTTCCCCCAGCAATATTTTACAGTTTTCAGTGTGCAAGTCTTTTACATATTTTATCAGATTTATTCTAAGTATTTTATATGTTTGATTCTGTCATAAGTAGTATTTTAAAACTTTGCTCTCTGATTGTTTGTTGAGATAAATTAATCTTTTCGTATGTTGATCTTGTACCCTGCAAACTTGATAAACTCATTTATGAGTTCCAATAGCATTTTTGTATATTCTGTCAGGTTTTCTGCATAATCATGTTATCTGCAAATATAGTTTTACTTCTTTCTTTCCATTCTGAATATCTCTTTTCTTTTTGTTGCCCTATTGCACTGGCTAGAACCTTCACTGCAATGTCAAATAGAAGTAATGAGAGCAGACATCCTTGCCTTTGTCCTGATCCTGGAGAGAAAGTACTTTGTCCTTCAGCATTAAATATGATGTTAGGGTTTTTGTAGAAGTCATTTATCAAGTTGAGGAAGTCTCCTTCCATTCCTAGTCTACTGAGGGCTGTTTTTTCCTTTAATCAGGAATGGATGTTAGATTTTTTCATTCTTTTCCTTCATCTATTGCAATGATTATAAGATTTTTCTCTTCTTTTCTTTACTTAATTTGTTTATTTATTTTGGGGTGAATTGGGTCTTCATTGCTGCACGCAGGCATTCTCTGGTTCTGGCAAGCAGGGACTACTCTTCATTGGAGTATGCAGGCTTCTTATTGCGGTGGCTTCTCTTGCTGCAGAGCATGGGCTGTAGGTGCACGGGCTTCACTAGTTGTGGCACATGGGCTCAGAAGTTGTGGCTCATGCGCTCTAGAGCACAGGCTCAGTAGTTGTGGTGCACGGGTTTAGTTGCTCCGTTGCACGTGGGATCTTCCCAGACCTGGGCTCAAACTCATGTCCCCTGCACTGGCAGGTGGATTCTTAACCACTGCCCCACCAGTGTTGTCCTGATTTTTCTTTTTTATTGTACTAAGTTGGGTAAATTGATTTTCAAATATTAAACCAACCTTTCATTCTTGAGATAAACCCCACTTGGTCATGAGGTATCATCTTTTTATATATAATTGTATTTGATATACTAAAATTTTATTAAGAAATTTTGTCTGTGTGTTCATGTGAGATATTGGTCTATAGATTTCTTGTAATGTCATTGTCTAATCTTGTTACAGTGAAAGTTAGCCTTATAAAAAAGTTGGGAAGTATTCCCTTCTCTTCAACTTTCTGGTAGAGTTTGTGTAGAATTGGCATTATTTTGTTCCTTAAATGTTCAGTAGAATTTATCAGTTAAGCCACCTGGACTTGAAGCTTTCTTTGTTGGAAGGTTTTACACTGCACATCCAATTTCTTTAATATCTTTATTCTTTAATAAACTTTAGTAGTGCATGTCTTTTAAGGAATTTTTTCCATTTCATCTTGAATTTCTTGGTATAAAGTATTCTATAATATTCTCTTATTATCCTTTTACTACCTATAGTATTTTTCTGTTTTCCATTTTATTTATTTCTACTTTGATCTTTATTGTGTTCTTTCTTCTCTTACTCTGTGATAAACTTGCTCACGTTTTTCCAGTTTAAGGTGGAAGTTGAGGAAGCTGAGTACAGCATTAGCAATATCCCACATGTTGACATATTACGTTTTCAGTTTCAGTGAGTTCAAAATAGTTTCTGCTTTCCCTTTTGATTTCTTCTTTGACCAAAAAGTTACTCAGAAGTGTGTTGTTTAGTTTCCAAATATTTGGAGATTTTTTGAGTTTGTTAATATCTAATTTAATTCCATTTTGGTCAGAGACATATACTGAATGCCTAAAATCCTTTAAAAATTTTTTTAAGTATAATGTTTTAAATTATTTTTGCTGCGTTGAGTCTCTTTTGCTTCACCTGCGCTTTCTTTAGTTGCGGCGAGCAAGGGCTACTCTTCATTGAGGTGCTCCAGCTTCTAATTGGATGGCTTCTCTTGTTGCAGAGCACAGGCTCTAGGTGCATGGGCTTCATAGTTGTGGCACACAGGCTCTAGAGTGTGGGCTCAGTAGTTGTGACATACGGGTGTAGTTGCTCCGCGGCATGTGGGATCTTCCTGGACCAGGGATTGAACCCATGTCCCCTGCATTGGCAGGCAGATTCTTAACCACTGAACCACTATGGAATTCCCAATTCCCGTATTCTTAATCTTTTGTGTAGATCCATATTCCAATCTGGTGTCATTTTCCTTCTGCTTAAAAATA